AATTCATTTTAAAAATCTGCTCACGAATCAGTACTCACTAAAGGAGATGTTTTTTCTGTCAGTTGTCTCATGTGTGGTAATATCTGATTCCATTGATAGATCTGCTGATAACCAAATCACGTGTGCATGAATTAACTTTCAGTTAAATCATTCATCAAATCAACTTTACTTCTCAAGGTATATTTCATTAGAAGTTATGAATATTAGTTAGAGGATCAGTGGAATGTTTAATCGCGGAGTGATATCACTTAGAGAACTGTGGATAACAAGGAATCCAGTGACTAGGTTATCATTTTTAAATCCCGTCAATTTACGATTTATTGCGCCGCCGGCCGAAATTGCCGGTGAATATTTCTTCTCAAACCCTACTTGGTGGACCACACTAGGCACAACTTTTCACTGGAACTCCATGCAAATTCTTCCTGTAGCCAGTCAGTCACTAGTGACCATCATTAAAAATCTACGAAGTAGTGGACAGCCGTTTCATCCTTCTGCAGAACTGTACAGCACTGCGGGCCTATAATCATCCGAACAAGGGTTAAACTTGGGGCATTCAAGTAATAAGTCAAGTCTGTTTACCATTCCAATTGAAGGAAGAAGTTATTCAAAGTTATTCTATTTGAAAAGACATTATTCTTTTTAAAAATTTCTCCTTCATACACTCGTCTGATTACAAAATAAAATTAATTCACTCCAGTCTTATTGAACTCTAATTATGAGTTTTGTAGGGATTTTCACTGTCTACGTCCCGATCCCTGGTTTGATCGTGAGTGCGTGTTGATGAAGGGTCCTAGAACAAGGATGAAATAGTTGTTTAGTTCTTCTTGGTTCTGAATCACCATCTAACTCATGACGGTTTATGACGAAATCTGCACACGAAAATTAGTCAAAATTCAATCGTGTTAAACTATATCAACAGAAAAATGACTTTGAGCGACTAATCCAAATGAACGATTACAAAATCCTGAATTTTGTTAATAAATTTTAAATTTAAACATTTAAGCTACTTAGTGTAATAATTCTGCGTTCACAGTAATTCCTTAGCCTGACTCACAACCCTAACCTCAGAAGATGAACAACGTTCATAACCTCCGCTAAATGTTAGCGTTGATGTCTCTGTTATACTCCATAACTCATCTTCTTCCAAAATCCTTAGAAACTCAAAAAGTTTAATGTCAACCTACTGATGTAGAGTACATTCAGGATGGATGTTTTACAATTCTTTTGCGAATTTGTGAATTTTCGGTGTGAGAGCAGATACTCACAGATAACATTCATTGAAGATATCAACATATGGGCCACTGAATACCCATTAGGTGGCTGGATGATAAACTAGCTCACCTTGTAACAAGAAAGTCATTCATATTATTCCCGGCATCCTGTTTAAACGTCTTGAAATAGGATGAAGCAGTTGGTTGTTCAGTACTCCGTGGATTCCAATGGTTCTTTAATTGATTTTGGCTCGTTATAATAACCTAAGTTATATCTAACAGTTCTGTTTCTATATATATATATACCATTCAGATGTCATATGGATGGTAATCCTTAAATTGCAGAGACACAGATAACAGAAAGAATAATTTAGTTCCTTGGCAAAACTCCACATAACTCACTTCAACTGACGAGTAGTTATCTAAAGAACGAAATCAGGGTAGAAAATGAAAAGTTATCAATCATTATTTTTTTTATTTATTAAAATAATCTAATTTATCCAACATACACGCTTATGCACACCCACGAAAACACATACGGAGAAGAAATAAAAATGATTTATTAATTTAAATGAAATGAAATGTCTTGTTTATTTTGATTTGATTATAAGATGATAGAAACTTTAGCTAAGTCATCTACCAGATCTAAACATGATAGATAAACATAGGTATTGTTTCGATGAATAAATGTAAATAACAAGAGTGAATTTCAGCTACTTATAAATGATTTCAGTAGGTAAAATGTTCAGAAGTTAGTTATTAGGTATTTGATTAGTTTTAAATTTGATCACAGACTGATATCGGTTAAAGAAGGAATGAAAACCAGTACTGGACGGCTGCTGCGCTACGACATGGAAGTTCCCAACAGTACACATTGTCTACCCTCCCACTGAGGATGGAAACTACTTGAAAATTAATCTGATGCCCACTAGTGACTAGTGAGGAGTCGTGATTGGCGGGGTTCACCAGGCTGGGTGTGGGGACATATGCCCGCCAATGACACTGACTGGGGATTGCGTTGCAAATCTCTAAATGATGGGCTGGCTATTGAAGTCCATCCCAGTGGCTGAATGCCCAAAAGTCTCGCCTAGTAACCTGAAGCCTTTGGGTTCAATCCCCATTGGGATGGGTGATGAGTGTGTACTGTGAATGGTCCCAAACAATGATGAAACAGTTATCTATTACTCCCTGGTGGTTTTCACTGGTTCTCTGACTGATGTCATTCCGTGATCAAAACTGAGATAAAAACGTATTATAAAAAACACGTTACTTAATGCACACAACAATGAACACGTAAGATAGTTAATCTACTGTCAAAAAAGTTATCTATGTGAAGGTTAAGCTTCTAAAGTATGTGTCACTTTCTGACAGCAGGAAATAGACCTGAGTATAGATATAATATATGAATCAGTGATGCGTGTGGTAGGTGTATTATGAACTCATATTAATCAGTTAGACAAACTTCATATCCGTTTTATTTTTATAAAAGTCTGCTGACAGATTTTCAGTTTGATTAAAAAAGCTACTAGAGATATAAACGAGTAGACTGGAAGGGCTTACATGACGGAAAATTTGTTATGTAACAAAGAATAACACTCAACTGAATACTTGAATGGTAATGAAGGAATATTTATATTATTATATAATTATAATTCCTTTGAGTTCCCAGTGGAACTTAGAGCTTCAGCCTAAACAAATCTCTATTTCATAATGTCCACTACAGTCACTTTTAGCTGACTTCACGATTGCCTTTTGATACGATTTCCCCAATGCCAACTTCGTATCCACGCTCTGCGTCATCGTTTCCCATTCAAAGTCCCCTTGACGGCCTGCCTGACGCATAGTGTCACTCAACACCTTCGACATTTGTCCAATCCATTTACATCCACTTCCTCATGACTACAGCCTCTCGGTTATTTCATGGTGAGAGTTCCTTGTTTCTGATCCTCTCTGTCCGGCCATCTAATCTTCAGTGTAAAGTGAAGGCAACTGTTGATTAAAAGTCTGCAGCTAGCTGTTGGAAATGCTTTTCATGACGCATCAAGTCTCTGAAGTACTGTTGAAAGTTCTGATCTGGTTTCTTATGCTGAGTGCGGTGTATCCTGCTTTTCCAACCCTTCTAAGTCTAATATTCTCATCTATGCCGCCTGTTTATATCTGAAAATTTTCCACCTAGATAAGTGAAAGAGGTGAATTAATTCAAATTCCTTCCGTTGATGGTGATTGGTGTTTGATGGTGTTGTTGTTGTCGGTTAGGCATCTTTACCACCTCCGTCTTCTCTGTCTTCATTGACTCTTCTCTCAGTTTGTTGGTTTCCATCTGTACATCTTCGAGTTAGTTTAAGATAAAACATAAGTCATCTGTACGATCCAAGTCTTCTACTGTTCTCTTGTCTGTCCAACTGTCTAGAGTCACAGGCAGCATATAATAGTGAGTATATCAGTTTGTCAATCATAACTAAATATAATCTAGATGAGTTCATAGGAGTAAGTTTAACTGAACTGCTTACTCTTATTAACATTCATTACACTGTCAAAACATTAATTCTCAGATTTTCACATCATCATTTTGACTGAAATCGACTAGTCTATGTTTAGCAAGTTATTTCGTTTAAGGAAAGCAAACAGATCTACTGAAAAAGAAATCTAAAGTTTTAGCACTTCATTCTGTAAATAACTTGGAGGGCATGCAATGCTCCTAATAAACTAATACCTAATATTCCCAAGACTATCATTAAAAAATCTATTTGAAATCAAAATTAACTAAAATCATGAGACTTCTCAAGGATAACAAGTGCTGTTTTTGACGGGTTTGACTGATTTTAGGCTTCATCTAGCATTAACATCAGTTAGAGAACCACAATGAAAACCAGAGAGTACTGGACAGTTGTTTACTCTAGGTTGCAGACTCTTCAACAGCATGCATGTATGATCCCATGGGGAATTCTGTCCAAGATCACTATCTATTTAGTTCCTGGGATGAAATTCAATGACCAACCCATGAATTCTAACTTCAATCTATTCGCGATAAATGGCATGATCTCCAGGGAATGTTGCCGACAAGTGCTTGTCTTCACATTCAACTTGATAGACCCCACTGGTAATGATTTCTTACCAGGCAACTGCATTTTGTAGTCGGTGAAAGAAGAATTATCACAGCTTAGAGGATAGAAAGCGGTTTTGCTTGAATGGAAAGTCTTCTCGATTAAACGACACTGATCATTTGGAAATTGGCTGAATTCAGAATAATTTTTGTTAAATAGAAAGGGCATCAAATTACACAAAGAATCACCTGATGTTAGAGAGTTAGTCACTTTGCAGGTAATTTCGGATTCCTTAGCAGTGTACATTGGTAACTTTTAACCAGACAATGTGTAGGATAGTCAGACTTCGAAGAGTGAAGGTTACTTAGTAATTAATGCGTTGGGATATAGTGATACGGATTTTTCTAACTTCCAAAGTCATACTTGGAATAGTGCATTTATCACTTCAGAATATTAGTCAGAAAAAACTTTCAAAAGTTTTATGTTAAAGTCACCAAAAATTAACAGTTTCTAATTTCATTTTCCTTTCCTCCTTATTTTGCCATAGAGTATTGAAATATTGCTTCAGACATAACAACACACAGTGTACTACTGAATGGCATTTTACTTGAAGATCCCATATAAAGGGTCGATATTTTGCAAATGCAATGCTCTGTAAATCCTGTACTATCAGTTAACACATTGTCCAGAATAAAGCTATTATTATTGATCTTGAATGTTATCTATTACTTTTCTTTTTGCCCAGTGCCTATATTCAATCACTGCCCAATCCAAGCTAAAGAATATTGTAAGAATGGTGGGGAATGCTTTTACGTGGCCGGCGATCCAAGTGTTTATATGTGCAGGTTAGTGGGTAGACAGGCTTTCGTTTTATAATGATTATTTTGCAAACAGTTAAAACCCATTGCCTATAAACTCTAATTTCTGTCGATTCACCGTATACATTGCACTACTACCAATCACTGCCATCCACGAAAATGTGTTCTCAATTGAAAATTAACCCAATACCCAATAGTTACTATTCACAGGATGAGGATGCTTCGAGTTCTAGAGAGAAAATTGTGACTAGTTAGATGTGCCAGGTTGTAAGGATGATGAATACTCATCGATAACACTGGCTGGCGATTACATTATATCGTGAAATGACAGAAGTTAGAATAGATGGGCTGTCCACTGGATTCCGTCTTGGCGACTGAAAGGTCATTGGGTTGGCTTTGTAACCTAAAGATGCCGGTTTTGATCCCTTATGAGTCCTAGTGAAGGCAGCAAACACTGACGAAACAACTCTCTTACACCTAGTTTTCACTGCTTCTCTAACTGGTATCGGTCACTTTGTGACCTAGCTAAAAATCAACCACATCCTTGCAGACAAACGCTTGAAAAGTAACTAAAGGCTCACTAGTAGGTGTCTACAGGATGAAGCTGACTGGAATTGTAACCAATGGGGTCCGCCAAGGCGAAGGCATGAGGACAAATAGTCGCTGATGACACTGGCTTGCGATAGCTGTATATATCCCAAATCGGCGTAAGTCATTGGCAGCCTACTCGATTCTGTCCCAGTAGCTGAACAGTCGACAGTTTACCTTGTAACGTGGATCCCCTCGATTCGATTCCCAAATGGGTGGGTGATGGATGCATACCACTGAAGAGACCAAAAAGGGACCAAACACCTGTTCAGTGATTCCTTATTTACAGTTAGCAACCTAATTGGAGGCCAGTCAAATCCCTGAGAAAAGTAACACCTAAAAATAAAGAAAAAGTCAAGTGTGATTACACACACTAAGAGTGGAGTAACACATTGATTTGATAAACCCGTTTGGTTGTATTTTTCTGGTCTGCTTTTTTTCTTGTCAAGATATAGAATCCAAAATAATAATAAAAGTGATAATAAAAAGTCATTAAGGAAAGGTCAAGTGACTTTGTCGATCCTTTCTGTCTTGCTTATCAAGAGTAGAAAATCACACAAACACATACACCTACATATACACGCTTGTCGATCAAAAGAAGTATTTATTTTAATTTCTGTATTTTGGATTAAAGTTTAAATTAAATCTTATTAGATAAACACAAGTGAGATTAAAGGGGAAATAGACAGTTTAAGTGTTTATTAGAAACAAACACTTTCATTGGAGAAATGATCAATTTCAGTGATTGATGAGAATAAGCCTCATTCAACATCATCATCGGCATCTTCATTATCGATTATTCATACTCACTTAAAGATTTAAGACATCAAAAAGATGGTATGATTGGTTTATAAGCGAAAAGGTTGCTTTATTTATCTATTTTTGGCGAAAGCATAATAGATAACTTTGCATCATATAATACACAATGGATCATACAGTATTAATAACTGGATAATAACGTTTTGAACACAGTTTACTGTTGCTCATAGCAGTATCAATGTGTATGTATTCACACAGCTTCATAATTTGTTTTATACATTTATCTATGTTTTTTCCTCTCTCTCTCTCTCTGATGTCGTTTATTGCAGTTTTCCATGTCTACACTCACTAAAGTTGTTGCATCATTTCTGTAGCACGTGTTGACTGGTGTCAATTCGATTAACAAAGATTCCGTGATTAACCTCTCTCTCTCTCTCCACCCAACCATATTACTTTGTAATACTTTTACTCTTTCTCCCACCCTATTGTGTAATTATATGCAACTGAATATTATGCAATGGCCGAGCTTTCTCCTAGATTATATAACTTAGCAGGGTCAATAATTCTAGATCTAGCTAAATTCTTATGTTCTGAAAATCGAATTCACCCTAATCTACTAGTATGACCTATGTAGTTCACTTGATATTCCCTACAGGGTATTTCGTAAATTATGCCATCTTTTCCTAATTGGATCTTCTAGATTCTTATGTTGACAAAGTTTGTCTGTGAGTGAGTTGACTGGTTTAATGCCACTCTAATTCCAGACTTATTGAGAATGTTACTTGGAGGCCCTGGTGTGTTGCTTCCCTAAATCGCAGTAATGTTGAGGCTTTAAATTCCTTATTATTTATGCTATTTTCATCAGTTAGTTTACTACTACTCTTATTTTTCCTGTGAGTCTTCATACATTTTTGAATAAAATATATTGGGTAGATATTCCATTGTAATGTTTTCCTTATTTATTTTCTATTTACTAGTTTAAATCATCTCAGTTACTAGTGGTTAGGCTTCTGGTTTGATTGTATAGATACTTTCCTGAACCTGCCTATGCAGAATCATTGTTCATCGAGTCAACAAGTACAATTGAAATGATGCAGCATCTATACCGGATATATAGAAAATCGCAATAAACAACAAGGGAGGATGGAAAAGTAGTAATAATTGTTTGGTTTACTCCAAAACAGTACTTATGATACAGTTTAGAATTCTTAGGACTTGATATAGTATGGAATCTAATTTAGTCGATAACATCAAAAAATTACGTCAGCTAGTATAGATAACCAAAATTGACAACAGCAGTTTTTTGATATTATCAGTGACAATAAAGTCAAAAATGTACAAAAAGTATAAAATGATAATGATGATAATAATAATAATAATATTAATAACTAAAATTATAAGATAACTGGAAATAGTGTCACCATAAATTACAAATCAGAGAATACAAAAGAGGCAATTATTTTGCTAATTACATAGCAAGTTATAAATCTCACGCTTAACACCATATCTATCACACAGAAGGCGGTACAAATTGGGTATCGTTGAATTTTTGTTTTGCAGTAAATTATAAAATTGTGTAAATAAATTCTTATGGTAATGACCAGTAAATTGTGCTTGAAACGTCCTTATCCAGTAATTAATACTGTATCACTAATTGTATACTAAATCTATCAAAAAAACTCATCTAATTTCGGAATACACCTATATGCTTGACCATAACTGAGGAGTGGATGGATGACTTAGAGAAATTAACAACAAAAAGACAATTTCGTTGTGCAATGAAAACAATTGTCTTCTTCCTTCTACTAAGTCATCAGTTCAGCTGTACATTTGTGCATGTATCTTTAAAAAGGGATGAGAAAATATGGGAACTATTTCCGCTCGTGAAAATACATAATGTTGTGTCAAATCAATGATAATCAATGCTAATAATTCATCTGAGTTCAGATGTCTCGGACACAGTTGCTTTGACAGGCTTGATAAAACTATGGATGAAATTTCGAAGGATTTCTCAACCGTATCACACAGAGTATACTACTACCGCCATCCTTTTACTAACCAGACAGGACAGTTTCCACGAGTACTTCTCCCAAGTGAATACATGAGACTATCAATATATTTGACTCCACCGATACAAACAAAACTGATATATTGATGTTGATGTTATCCCTTGAGTCAGCTTGTCCTCCAAATACAGACTACTTTAACTGTCTGTCAGTAACAGCCTCGATCAGTTTCATTTGACATTCCTCGTTCTGTTTCTGTTGTAGCTGTTATAGTAGTAACTGGAACTGTTCAAAACTAAATGAAAAAATTGAATATTCAGTTATGTAATAGTGGTGGACGATACCTAAGTACAGTACTTGGATTCAGGATTCCTTCTTACTGTTAATTCACTACATCAAAATAACCGCCCTATTACTAGAATACTATGACCCCAATGACAGAAATTCAAAAGGCTGGCCAGGAAAGCAGAGATTTGATACTCCGTGTGAAGAGCAAAACAGGTGGAAATGACAAGAAGAAACCATCAACAAAGATGAAACCAATGTAAGATAGTGGAGGGATCTGACTGCCAAAGAGAAGAATCAAAAGTAACATTGGGTCGATAACGGCAAATGACTTCTGAACCAACCACCACCTACAACTCGTTTAAGAATACCACTAACAGCCACAGGACTATTGTTAGACAACAATCCTCTGACAAAAGCAGAAGCATTGGATGCCATAAAGTCACTGAAAGTCGGGAAGGCAGAGAGGCTAGAAAGAATTCCCCCTGAAGCACAAAAACCGATCGAGAGACCAAAGAGGATATGCTCACACCAAAAGGTTTGGAAGGAAGAAAACGTACCTAGTAACTGGAAGAAGAACTACCGTGTCAAACTCATAAAGAATGGCTTTTTAAGTCTTTTCAAGAAATAACGCATAATCATGCTGTTATTTAAAAATTTAGGAGATCTGGGCATTCAGATTCTTAATCTACATTTAACTAGCTGCAGAAACAATCATGAGACAAATAACGTTTTGTATAGATGATATTACACCTTGATTTTGACTTCTGGCCGTTAATAAAAACAGAATGGTACAATCAAAGCCATATCTTCAGACTTTGAGTATAGGTCGAAAAATAATCCTGAATGCAATAATTTACTAATCATAGTATGAATATGATTATAAACCTTCAGATGATAGGTGTTGCGAATTTCATGGGATAATTTGAATTCCAAGGCATATCCGTTTAATATATAAAATTACTTAGAATAATCAGTTCCACAGTGTACTTGGAAAATTAAAACAAGATTTTTTAAACGTTTCGCCGTGTGTGGCAAAACTTCAGCAGAATTACTTGGATTTTGTTAAATATCACAAACACAATCAAAAAGTATATAAATTAAAGTGAACTTTCCAAGAGTTAGTTTGTAGCGATTTGACTTGTCCCAAGTTTGATCCTGGATTGATGTCAGTTAGGAGGAATACTGAAAAGGTGTTTTGTCCCGATTCGGGACTCTTCATCAGTTCGTACCCACCACGCCAGTGGTTATTAGAATTGATCGACCACTGGATTCTGTCCCAGTGTATAAATGGTCAACAAGCCAGGTTTCGTAACCTGAAGGTCCCGAGTTTGATCGCAGGTTTCCATTAATGACGAGTCCTCAAATAGGATAAAACAGCTATCCAGT